GTGTGTTGGGTTCAAAGTGCCCATCTGAAGTGAAGTGTGTGTCTCGTATCAGGTTATGTTATATTGCGCTGTCGCGCGCGCACACACACACACACACATGCAGTACTTATCGGGAGTGGAACTCCAAGGTCACGCCCTTAAGACAACGCTCCAGTAGGTAGTTGTTCTGTCGTGGTCTTTGTGAGGGGTTTGTATACCTGCCTAAACTAAGACACTGTTACCACACAAACTGGGTTTACGATTACTTTTGGTATATTCACAGAAGCAGTCACATGTTCTTTTTGCAGGTTGGTCAGCCTGTATAGCGTGCGTATATCGAGAACGTAATGTGTATGTGTATGCGTATGTGTATTGCATTATGAAAGGTTTGTCTGAGGCCCAATGAGTGTATGTGTGTGCAAACCCCACCTGCTGTGCATTAACAGCTGAATTCCCATTGCCTGACTACGCAGATGTCCTGATGTGTACTTCTGAGTCATATGTTTCCTTGCTCGCAATTGGCATAGCGGGGGTATCAATCTCACTGCAGCGCTTCTTTGCCTTACCCTGCTATGAAACATACTGGCACGGTGGAGTAGACGTTTAACGCATTACGTAAACTGTACCCGAATGTGCATGATACTCACCTCATCACAATCCACCCGCATATATATCATATCCCTATTACTCTTTATACGTGACCAATTACCATTTACAGCACCATCCTTCCGCATGCATAGTGTATACCTAATTCTCATATTGCGTACATAATTACCATTCATGCATAGTACACACCTACTTCTCATAACCCGTACTCAAATACCGTTTACGCCTACAGAAGACCCCGTAGAGTTGGCGAAATTCCTGTTCAATGGCGGGGAGTCTTGTGCCACAGATGTGGCCGATATAATTGGGGCCGACTCGGACTTTGCCAGAGCTGTGGGGAAGGCGTATGTGGATCTGTATGAGATAACTGGGCTGTCTCTGCTAGAGTCTCTGCGGGTGTTCCTGAAAAAGTTTCTTTTGAGTGGAGAGACGCAAGCCAAGGATAGGGTGTTGCAGTTGTTTTCAGATAACTATCACAAGAAGAATCCGGGTATGTGTGGCATATATATATATATATATATATGCAGATATATATATATATATATGTGTGTGTGTGTGTGTGTGTGTGTATAAAAATGCTTGTATACATAGGTACATGTACAAGTATATTCACAGGTTCGGTTTCATGTGTAGCATGCATGGATACATGTTTTATTGTGTATAAGTAATCCTGATTTTGTATAGATTTGACACTCTGGCATATACATCGCTATCCCACCTACCGAATTGGTACCCCGTTGTGTACCTGTAGCGACAGGACCATTCATATATCTTGATTTCTGGCCCCGACCTTCAGCATACGTGAACTTACAATCGATCTTTGTCAGTGAACTGCAAAGCGGCACAAGTAGTGGCGTTGTAAGTGGACTCGATAGTAGGCCTCATAGGACAGATAGCAGTTTACTTGGTTAGTCTCTGATATCGAAGCGGCACAAGTAGTGACGCTGTAAGTGGACTCGATAGTAGGCTTCCTACAATGATAGTAGTTTACTTGGGTAGTCTCTGATATCGAAGCGGCACAAGTA